TATAAATTTCTAAATAAAGTTGTACAAAATACTTGAATTCCTTCAAGTTCACGCTCAATTCCTCCAAATTCATAGAATAAACTTAAACAAAACAGAGGAACCCCATTAACATCATGTAAATCAAGAACAAAAATATGAGATTAGCATCCTGTAGATATTGGTGTTGTATGTAATGTCAAAAATAACCACATCACCATAAAACTTGTATGCTTGCCTAGAACTTGCATCTGCCTAAAAACATTGAGTTATGTTGTGTTCTTCATTTGCTTGAATTTTAAGTGTGAATTTAGAATTGCTTTCTTCCTTCACCTGGTTTCGCACTTTTATTCAATAGTTATATAAATCTTCTTGTGTACAACCAATATTTTCAATTCCACCTACCTGTAATCCAAGAATATCAAATTGTTTGCGTGGAGGTATGTTTGCCATGTCTAAATAATCAGCTAATATTTTATGACACTTGGTAACTTTGCGATGAGACTTTAGCAAGTGGCGTCTTCGTGGCGATGCCATTGGATGATTATGACCCTCGTCAAATATGATGACTGCATACCCACCAAGTTTAGATCTCACAACTATCAATCTTGCTTTACAACCCTCTTTGGTTAATCCATGACACTTTTGTTCAGTCACCAATCCATTCTTTTGTATTACTTCCCTTTTTGTTACACACAAACTCCTTTTCTGTGATCTCACCATCCTTATTTTTCTTACTTTAATGCATCCGGACACTAAACCCAACCTCCCTTGCATAGTTGTTGTAAAATTCAAGCACTTTGTGACCTATGGTAGGCTTGAACTCATCCGTTACTTGAGGATAGAAAAAACAAATGTTAGCTACAATTTCTGACTGATTTTCCATGGGAACTAGCATTTCATTAGCTTTCATAACTTGAATAGGCATTTTGTCAATTTCCGTAACTTCAATAGCCATCTCATTAGCTTCCATAACTTGAACATAAACATTAGCACAATTAAACATCCACACCAAAAAGAATAATAAAAAGCATCAACAAAACTTGAACAGAAGAATAAAAGTCAAATTATTCAACTACTCCACTAACACATTCAAATCTGTAAGCAAATTTGAATTAGAAGTCAAAAGGTTTTTACCTTAAAACCCGAAAGAAAACCACCAAATTTATGGACCTATTCAAATTTGTAACCAATTTAAATTAGAACTCAAAAGGTTTTTACCCTAAAACCCAAAAGAAGACCACCAAATTTATGGACCCATTTGAAACCGGAACCATCCTAAATCAGAATGGAAATAGGTTTTTGTGTTTAGAATTCGAACAATATAAACCCCAATTGTTCAACCCAATATCCAAATTATACACCTAAAATAGTGAATGAGGAGGAGACCTATACCTGAAATCTTAAAGGTTAGACACGATGGTTTGTGATTTGGTTGAGTGCGAAGCTCTATTCGTGGGAAATGCATGTGCGTTTGTGTCGCAAGGAAACAGAGAGAACCAGAAAAGAAAAAAGAAATAGGGAAAAGAAAAAAAAATGTAAAGGAAAAAAAAAAGGATAAAAAGATTTTATAAGCTATTTAATCTAAACCACAAAATTTCATTAAAACCAATTTAACAGTCAAGAGGGTGCTCCCATTTTTTCAGAAAAATATGGATCCCTTTCGTTAAATAAATTATCTGTATATGTATGTAAGTATTTATAATTAACAGATTTGGCCAACTGACCTTTTCCTATTTCATTCACGTACGCATGCATATGCGTGCCTTGTTGCTATTGGACACTGCATTTTCTGATGTGGAATTTGCCAATTTGGGTTACACATCCATAATCGTACAAGCACCCTTCTAAATTAGGTACCTTTTTTTTTGTTTTAATTCTTTTCAGTAAATAGTTAGATTATTTTGGGGGTTAAGTTCAGATTACATATGTCAACTTCGTGTCTTTATCCGACACAACCGCATGGCCCTCCCAATATTCTATATTCTGAGTTAATTAGTTGTTAATTTGGCACCAACAGAAAGATCTCAGTTAGTGATGTTTTTTTATTAGCTAAATGTTCTTAAAATATGTTATCCTTACATTTGTTGCCGCAAGAGGGAAAAAGGAAAGGGCGGTTATTTGGCCATCATCGTGTGATTAGTTGGATTCAATTTATAGTAGCTAGCAGCTTAGGTTTTTCATTTTTTTAATCGCCACACAAAGAAGAAAAACAAAATTAGTGTCACCGTGAAAGTAACATTTTCTTGGGCAAAACACTTTTCAGGGTGCACCTAAAATTAGGAACGTTGATTGTTTATGCTTCACTTTCAATATATTAGGTAATGCCCTAACATTGGCCCCCCATGAGATAAGTAGGGATTCTAAATTTATGACATAATTAAGGTGAGACTGAGAGTGATAGAGAAAGAAGTATGGTATGGTATGGGTTGGGTTTGTTTTTTCAACCCGGAAATATTAGTTGCAATTGGAAATCCATCTTAAGGTGAAACGATAATTTAAAATATAAATTTTAGATTAATTATTCTTTTGATGAGCAATGAAACATGTCATAAAGTGCCAGTTTCTCCACAGTTTTTTTTTTTTTTTCTCTTCTGGATTAGGACCACATTTAAACATTTTCCCTACGAATTAAAAATGATTTTGTTCACAGAAATGTAAACAATAAGTTTTTTTTATTTTTTCATGTACATTTTTTCTATTATTTACGTAATCAATAACAATAAGTTGTTATTCAACGATACTATGATTAAAGTTAAATCCAAAAATGCTAACAGTTTAGAGTAAAGTCAAATCACTATAGAATCGAATATTAAATAATAAACAACAGAAAATAGAGAGATAACAAGAATGGAATCGAAGTTGAAATGACAATAATTCAGTGTTAAGACGAAAATCTAAATAGAAACTCCTAATATGAATTATGGAATATAATTACTTAAAAACGGAAGTGTTATTGACACTCTAAAAATCTCATTCTCCACTCCTCACAAATTTTATTTTTTTCTTCCAAATATAGAAAGTTTGAAGTGTAGAATGAGATTTTTAGAATGCCATAACAATTTCCTTAAAAAAGTTAATACATAAGTCTAAAGCTCATTATGTATATTAGAGAACAACAACCCAGAACCCTAAGCCTTGCATTTAAATAACCAAAATTCCAAATAAACCAAAACCCTAGCCTAACTAGATTTACAGGCTTAACATTGTAGATGTTCATACATTATTCTATCTTTTAAAAGGAATAAATTCAAAAGACACGACAATAAGTGTGCAAAAAAAAAGTTGAGTGTACGCAAATCATTTCTCGCTAACACTCACTTTAATATATAAGTTAACAATTTACAGATACGAATGAATAACTCTTTAACTGGAAGGAACCAAAGTGTGTAAATTTCTTGAGTGCACAATTAACAAGAATTATTGACCAACTCATTTGCTCAAAACAGCATCATGGGGTAGATAATAAAACAGCCAACCGATTTGGACATATATACCAAGAAGGCAAGTGGTTGGAGGATGTCTTTTGTTTAAGTTTTTTGGAGTGAGTTGGTGGAATGGAGGTCCCCGAGCTTACACCAATTATATGCAGTTGCAATAGTGTTTGAAACCAGCACAATGAACATTAAGAACAAGATGGAGGAGAAGTTAGGTCAATGGTTATTAGGTTCCTTGTGGAACTCATCTATCTAGCTAACTACATCTTTCTCGCTTGTATATGATAATACCAATAACATAGCTTCATAAACAAAAATTTCAGACTAAAAAGATAATTACAATTATAGGTTACTCGAATTGGAAGCTAAGCTTGAGGTTGATTATGTGGGATGGTCCAACACGTCTCATTTATTAAAAAAAATTGGTTCAAGTTACAGTGAATAGACTTTAAATGCGTGGGCTAAAGATGTTAAAAATCATCTTGGATACGAATAACCATGAGATTTTCACCTTTTAAACTCGATGAAACGACTATGATAATAAAACTCTCCACCTTAAAATTGTCTTGTATACTTGTTTAACACTTTAAAGTATTAAAAATATATAGTTTTACACAATTTTTTTTCAATTTAGAATTTTGTTTCTTCGTTGTTCAAAATTAGTAGTATTCTTTAGTATTTTTGGGGGGGGGGGGGAGAAATTATTCTTTAGTATTTAATGTAATGCTAATGATGAATTATTTTGTATTACTTTAAAGAAAAAAAATCAATACAAATAGAATGTGGATGCTTATGGCATTTGCATTTCCCGACCCGACCTACTTCTTTGTCATCTTTAACCTTAAGCCATTTTTCAAAAGTTGTTCTTTTTACACCCAGAAGTGGTCTTTGGACACCCAATTATCTTTGCAAATATACCAAATCGAACCCTTAATATATTATGCTTTATTTCATTAAAAATGAAACTTAATAGATACTAAAAAGGAATTTAAAACTAACAAAAAAACAAACTTTGCTATTTTGAAATACTAGCATCTTGCCACATGTGTCACTCGACTCTTTTTTACTTATTTTAGATATTAATTTTTTTAAAATATATTTTAAAACATAATGAACATAATATTCAGTCTCACAATGATTTTTTTTTAATTTTAGAAATCTTAATGAGAGAAAGGTAATTTGGGTATTAGAAAAGTTTCATTTTTTTGCCTTCTCCCTATGTATAGAGATTTAACAGTGGAGATCGACAGCGGCCTCACATCCTTTTTTTATTTTTCAATGTTAATTTCATTATTTACAAAAAAAAAAGAACATAAATTTCTTTTTGTTTTATTCTGAAATATTTAAAGTGGGTTTTTGGGTCATTTTCTCTTAATTTTCTTCCAAAATTTTGGGTGTCCAAAAAACACTTTCGAGTTTAGACAAAACCACTCATTTTCCAATGGTAATATAAAAGCCCGGGCCCGTTTACAATTGGACCAAGTCCAAACAGGCCCAAATGGGTTCATGAAAACTCGAGTGAAATCTCCACCGTCCACCTGTCCACCTGTCCACAAGCTCATCCAGAAATCCGGGAAATACCGCTATCCAAAACCGCAAATCCCTAATTTCGTATTTATCGTCTTCGTTCACAAAAATCGAATATTTCACCTGAAAATTTTGCAACCGCGGAGCAAAAATGATGAGACTTGCGGCGAAGAGGCTTCTCCAAGGCGGCCGTCTGGGGTCACCGGAGGCTCAGTCGCCAGCGGTCCTGGGCCTGCCACGTATGTACCACGAGAGGGTGGTGGACCACTACGACAACCCCCGCAACGTCGGATCGTTCGATAAGAATGATCCGACGGTCGGTACGGGGCTCGTCGGCGCGCCAGCCTGTGGCGACGTGATGAAGCTCCAGATTAAGGTCGATGACAGCACGGGAAAGATTGTTGATGCCTGCTTCAAGACCTTTGGGTGTGGATCGGCCATTGCTTCTTCTTCTGTCGGTTAGTCACGTTTATATCTGTGTGTATATATAAATATAGATATTCAGATATTTGTGTATGTTATTTACTGTTTGGTTGCCTAGAAAATTTTGGGGCAGGCAAGAATGAATTTTTTTTTTAATAGCAATCGGAATTCGAAGCATGCTATATGGACTGTAGTGTTTATTGATTGAATTCTTTGGTGATTTGTTGGATTAATTTGAGGTATGCTTAAGAATGTGTAATTTTGAGCTTATAACTTGTTCTGTTGGGTTGCCAATTAAAGATTGAATCCATACCTTTTCCCAACGTTTCGTATTTCATTCCAATTCATAGAGACAATGATTAATTTGTTTATTTGTGTAATCATCTGGGGAGGTTTGAATAATGGAAACAGCCTCTTTGCAAAGCAAGGGTAAGACTGTGTACGATATACTTTCCCTCACTCTCGCAGAGCTGGGAGCCTTGTTGGCTTGAGGTCGCTTTTTGTATAATTGTCTCGGAACCGTTTTGCTGTTTCAGTAATCAATCAACTGCATGTACAATTTGGGGTAACGGGAAATTTTGGCCCATTGAAACAAATTGGTTGTGTTGCTGCTTTCTTTGAAGCTCATAAATTAGGAATTGTAACATTTAAAGCTAATAAATTAGGAATTGTAACATTTATATAGGTTTAAGATGAATAATTGTTACTGTTTCATGGCTTATGAATCTTACCTTGCTTAGTTTTTGGTCTTAAAGTGGCTAATATGATTCTTTCTGGACTGATAGCTTTGATTTAATTTGTCTAATGCTGGGTTTGTATCTTCTTTCAGCTACGGAATGGGTGAAGGGGAAACAAATGGAGGAAGTCCTGACTATTAAGAACACGTGAGTTCTGCTCTTCCTCTTATATATTTGTCGAATTTCTTTTGTTCATATTTCTTGCTGATATTGTTGTTAACAGTAATGGTCTTGGATATTTAATTGAGTGTATTTTTGGTTTGCATGATGCTAGTTTTGTTCTTTCGATATTAACTTGTTGGCGTTGTATGAACCTGTGACTTCTGCTGTTGTATTCTTGGCATTTAGTTAATATTATTATGCATGATACTTACCATGGTGTCCTTCCGCCAACTAATCGATATTCATGTTATCATGTTTGAGCTCTGGTTTGCTGTTGCTCAAAGAGTTTGTTCTGCTGGAAGCTTTGATACTATGTGTGATTTTCTTCACTACATTTTTGCTCATTGCTTTGATGGGTTCTTTTGAATGTCGTTGCAGAGAGATTGCAAAACATCTTTCCCTACCTCCGGTTAAGCTTCACTGCAGCATGCTCGCGGAGGATGCCATCAAGGCAGCTGTTAAAGACTATCAAGCCAAGCAAACCAAATCAAGTGGCAGTACAGAGGTATCTCCTGTGGAGAAGGCTGCCAATGCTTGATTTTTCTCATATGAAATGATGATGAAAAATTAGAGTGGCCGGTTTTCTACCTGTCCGATGTTTACTAGATGTTTTAATAATACGGTTGTACTGGATGAGACTAGCGTCCGTCGATCCGTATTTTTTCTATTTGTGTTCTTCTTTTCTCGTGGAATTGCAGCTGTATGAACAAACAAGCTTTTTGGGTACATATGAAAGATGGTTTTTATGTGTTCATGTGGATCCTTAAGATGTTCAAACTCCTTTTAGTTTAAATCTTTTTTCTAAATACAAAATTGCAACTTTACACCCTATTTTGATTTTATGTTTTGTCTTGTATCTGCGTCGATTTTATATTATTTATAAATATTGAAATGACACAAAATATTCATTTATAACGATGTAGTAAAATAATTGTGAGTGTTAGGTGCCCTATTTCATAGCAAAATGTTTGAGTACATACTAAGAACCTTGCAACCAAAAAATACTACCAAATCACAAAATAAAGTAACATAGTTTAACTTCTGAAATCAACTACCAAAATAAAATGGATTTATGCCTTGGGTTTAATACTTGTTGGCAATATAGTAGCATAAAGTTGATAAAAAAAAAGATTGACATCTTTATTTTGACCTCAATTTGCGTAGAAAAAACCTCGTTTCATCAAACAAATTGAACATGATAGAAGCGAATTGACTGAAGGTTTTCAAAGTGAAAATGAGTGAAAACGTAACTAGAGATAGAAGAAGATACTTGATAACACGATAAATGTAAATTATCGCACTTAGTTCACTAATTCAAAACATGACCCACAAAGTTATAAATTTTTAGTTTCCTCCAATATTTTATATAGCCAATGATCCTTTTGGAACTAGACAATTTTTCCATCTCAGCTCCTAAATACAAAAATACTAATATATCGTGTTCGTTGATGTTATGTTTTTTTGTTGGAGTCAAGTTTGAGTGTTTTAAATATTGAAATGACCCAAAATATTCATTTATAAATGTGTAAAATATCTGTGAGCCGGAAAAGGATTCTAGCCAGATCATTTTTCTGAGGATGAGATTTCGTGATCGTGACCGTTCATCGTATATTATACAAGTCAGAAATAATTTCAAAATTTAAAATTTAAAATTTAAAATTAAATATAAATAGTATTTAACGAAAAATGATCGCATAATGTACGATGAATGGTCGTAATCGCGGAATTCCCACGCACTGGCCAGGGACGATCTCTAGGGTTAAGTCCAATCAGACCCTTATAAGTATAATCCCAAATCCCTCTCTCTCGTCTTCTCAAAACCGCCAACGATCCTCTTCTTTTTTTTTTTTTTTCCTTCATCTTCTTCAATCGAAAAGGATTTGGGATCCTTTTCCAGCTGACGTGCCACGGTTTAATATTTTATTTTTTTTTACTTTTAGGCGCGTGCAATACATGCGTGGAGAAGGAGAGTGGGACGACTAAATCTACATGGTATTTCTTCACGGGCGCCACAGCACGAAATCAGCGTATTATCACGCGCTCCCTAAGCGAGTACGTGTACACCACCCAGCCTGCCACCGGAGGAACAAACCAAACCCATCACAAAACCCGAGACACAACAACTGCCGAGTGCTGACTGCCCCAAATCTCCTTCAACGAAAGGTACCAATCTTTTCGCAATCTGTCTCCTAAATGCTCGTATTACTGCGTTGCTGCCTTCACTCCTCTCGGATCCAAAGTCTCACACTTTTAAGGTTCCCATTTAATTTGTTTTTGTTGACATTCCAGTTCAACCACCTCCCTCCCACTTCCTCACCTAACCCCACTTTTTAATTTACCATTGTTGTTGTTTTTTAATCTTCTGGGTCCATTTCTTTCTATTTTTTTTTTGTTTAATGGCATAATTTACTTGTTTTTTCTTATCATTTGATGTAAATTCTGTCTTTGGTGGTCAAGATACATTTAAAAGCTTGACAATTTCAGTTAATTTCAGCCCAATTTTCATCGAAGTCAGCAACTTTAATTCCAATATCTTCAAAGTTTGTAAATTTAATCCATTTGTTCAACTGGTTTAATCAATTTTTTATTAATTGATTGTTTGTTTAGGTCAAAGTGGGCACACATAGGCCAAAGGGAAACAGTTGAGAGGTTGGGAAGGGTTGATATTTGGATTAATGGCTGGTTTAAGAGAGGACCCAGTTCTTGGAACTAACGATATAAAAGAGAGAGAGGGAGAACAAGAAGCTGACAAAATTAGTTATACTTTAGAGTCCCATGTGGTGATTAGAACAGAAGGAGGAGAGGTTGAGAGAGATATGGCTCCGGCCACCGGAAGTTCGATTCACCGGTCGGGTTCCCGGCCCCAGTTGGACCTCAGCAAAGCTGCCATTCAAGGGAATTTTGAAGAGAGGGACCCTACAATTCTTCTGCCTAATCAGTCTGATGACCTGTCTCACTTGGCCTTGGACATTGGAGGTATAATTTTTATACTTCACTTCAATCACTTGTTTTTGAAAGGTCTTGTGGTTTTTGGATTCTAAATTTTCTGTTTTGTTAGCTTTCACTGTATGGGATTGTATTTTCTGTTGTTCTTTGCTTACCTTTATAGATTAAAGTGATCATCTTTTTTAAGGAAGGTATAAGTTTGATTTAGTGGAGCAAGAGGCTTGTAGCTCAGTTGGTTAAGTGCGCTCACCCGTGCATGGAGGTCCCGAGTTTGATTTCCCCCTCCCCCAATATGACATGTATAAAAAAATGATTGATTTGGTGAAGAGAAAGGGAAATTATGCATGCATTGCTATATCCAGTGAGAATGGCTTAATTGTGATCGTTGGTGCTATAATTTGTGGTGTTTTAAGTTTAGTTGTGAATTTGTGATCGGTACCAGACTGTGTGAGATCGCGTGCAAAATTTTGAGTTCAAGGAAACTGTTTTAGTTTGTTTATAAAAATCGGTGTTTTAAGGTGTTTAATGGTTTAATGGCAGGATCTCTCATCAAGTTGGTGTATTTCTCAAGACATGAAGGCCAATCAATTGATGATAAAAGGAAGAAAACTTTGAAGGAGAGATTGGGAATATCAAATGGTAGTAGGAGAAGCTATCCTATTCTTGGTGGGAGGCTTCATTTTGTGAAGTTTGAGACGAACAAGATTAACGAGTGCTTAGACTTCATCTATTCTAAGCAGCTTCACCGTGGTGGTATATTCTTCTGGCTGTTATTTTCTCTTGCTGCAGTCGTTAGATTTCTCGAACTTATATGATATTTGTGCTTGAATCCTTCAAGTTTTCAGCAAAAACATATACCTGTGTTCTAAGAAAGACTAATTGTGGATAGGAATGGATGCTCGTATCTGGAATCCTGATGCCCCAACTAATGAAAGTTCCGTAATTAAGGTAATATAATGGTTTATTGATCTTGTTTTGTATTTTGGAATTCCATTATTTCTGTGTATTTTTAGGGATCATACTAACATCAATGAGTGAATTCTTGCCTGAAGGCCACAGGTGGTGGGGCATACAAGTTTGCGGACCTCTTCAAAGAACGGCTTGGGCTTAGTCTTGACAAAGAAGACGAAATGAATTGTCTAGTGGCTGGAGCAAATTTTCTACTCAAGGTGGATGTTGATACAAAATAACATTTTCTTATGGATTAGTACTTTTTGCTCCTTTTGTTGTGTTTTTCGTTTGAAAAATGGCACGAACTTCTTGTTTGTCCATTAGTTTCCAGTAAGAAAATTAAAAACTTCTAATTCTCTGCTCCTGGATTTTGACTTTGCCTTTATCAGTAAATTTGAGTTGAGTTCATATGTTACCAAGAAAAACAAACTTTAATTTTTGGCTTTTTGTTTCACTTCATTTGTCATATTAGAGGTTTTTTATTCGAGAAATCTGGCATCCAGTTTTTATTTGGTGTTCTGATATGCTCATCTCTCCTCCTTGTATATGGGAGTTCTATCGTTTAAGTGTTGAATGAATTACCGTCTTAAAAAAAAACACTATGATTTGGAATTATCACATATTGTTCATTCATGGCTTGCTGATAAATTGTGTGGGTACCGTACAGGGACATCATCAAGTACTCATATTATCTTATAGTACATTTTTGCTTTCTTTCCTCCATCATAATCTTACTTCTCTGAGAGGTAATTATGTTCTACCTTGATTTCTAGTAGGCAATTCGTCATGAAGCTTTCACACACAAGGAGGGTCAGAAAGAGTTTGTGCAGATTGACCAGAATGACTTATTCCCGTATCTTCTAGTTAACATTGGGTCTGGTGTTAGTATGATTAAGGTAACTCTTTCTTATGTTTTCTTGTTATTAATTCTGGAGACTTGTTGAGTCTATTTATCATCAATTAACCTATGTTGCTCTAGGTTGATGGAGATGGCAAATTTCAGCGGATAAGTGGGACAAATGTTGGTGGTGGTACTTATTGGGGCTTGGGGAAACTGTTAACAAAGTGCAAAAGGTATTTTGTTCTTCGGATTAATGTTTTGTTGCTTTCTATTTTTCATCTCATCTCTTTCTAGAAAGTTTGTCCAGGTCTTTGACTAATTCATTCCCCGTATCAGTTTTGACGAGTTGTTAGAGCTGAGTCAACGGGGAGATAATAGGACTATAGACATGCTTGTCGGGGACATTTATGGTGGTATGGACTACTCAAAGGTATGCAGATTGTCTATTCTGTGGAGAACACTACTCTGAAGTTTGGAGCTGTAAATTAGTCCAGAAATTTTAATATTGATTATCATGAATTATGCAAATTTCCTTAATGTAGTAGAGTGACTAAGCATCCCTAATCATAAAACATGTTATAGATCGGACTCTCTGCGTCAACCATCGCCTCTAGTTTTGGGAAGGCTATTTCAGAAAAAAAGGAGCTTGAAGACTACAGTCCTGAAGATATATCCCTGTCTCTCTTACGAATGATTTCTTATAATATTGGCCAGGTGTTTTTTTCGCTTACAAGATTATGTTATTGTTACGCAATTTATGTTGTGCCTTATTCGAATACGTGATATCTAAAGATGTGCTGATTTTGGTGATCTGATTGGACTGTTTGGTGCAGATAGCTTATCTAAATGCACTACGGTTTGGTCTGAAGCGAATATTTTTTGGAGGTTTTTTCATAAGGGGTCATGCTTATACCATGGACACTATCTCCTTTGCGGTTCAGTTCTGGTACACATACAACTTACTTATCAAGATTTAGACGTTAAATCCTCTTCTTCCTTGTCTTTGATGTTGAG